CTCTCTCTCTCTGTTACCCCCGCAGATGACGCCCACCCCTGCTACCTGCTGTTGTAAGAGTTCATCGTCCCGGCAATATATCTCCGCAGGGGGTTCTCATGACCATATGTGACACCTTCATGCACCTGTGCCAGCGACAGAATTAGGAAATCTGTCAGTGCTGCAGAGATGATAGACGAGGGGCAGGTCCGGATATTTATAACAAACAAGCAGGTTATTAGCTTTTCCAAATTGGTCAAAATCCCCAAAGTTATTGGTTCGGTTTTCAAATTATGAGGTTATAAAATGTACAAAACTACTGATGACAGTTTCTTACACTTGCTTCAGCGGGGGAAAAAAAGCAAGACCAAGAGAACTTACTTCGGTTCACACGTTCACAGTTGACTGCAATACTCCGATGTTATCAGCTGGGGATCCGTGACCACCGCTGCGCCGGCCAGGCTGAGAGCCGCTCCCTGTGAACAGTAACGCAAATCCGGCAAAACTTAGCAAAAGTAAGTGGCGACGAGATTTATCGGCGGAGAATGGGGCTATAGCTTTTGGGAAAGGTCCTATAAGGTCCTCCTCCGGTTATACTCACTGGGACGTCATCCCCTACACAGGACGTACTTGTGGTAGGTGCTGATCTTTTGCTCCGTCTCTAAAATACGACATCCCAGCCGTGATGTACCCGGGACGTTTTCGGGACTATGCTTTGTTGTCTGGGGCGACAATATTTGTTTTTCTGAAACTGTAATAATTACCTGTTAAACCAAAATTTTTTGTAGGAGAGACATAAACGTGGGGAGGAGGCCCTTAAGGGAGCGAGGCCCTGGCTTTTACATGGGTGACAATAGAAAGTAAGTAGACTTCTTCCCTTACCTCCTGTCCAGCAACTGCTGGTGGAAACCTCTTGTCCAGCCGTCTGGAGCCCTGGAGTCCCTGGGGCCGGGCGCGGCCAGCCGCTGGTAAACAAGGCTGCGGAGTTGGCAGCCCCGGGGCCACACCCGCCGGCCGCCCAATCGAAATCAACCAACTGACAAATTACAGGGGGTGCGTCTCCTATCTCCTGGAGCCAGGCCACGCCCGGCCTCCTATCCTCTATTCTTCTGTCACCATCGCCTCGCTCTATCCCTTTTCTCTGCCCTCCCCCCTCCCCTCCCCTTTTTCAACACACACACACATACGCACACGCGCGCGCTCACACACACACACACACACACACGCGCGCGCGCGGGCACGCACAACCACTTACACCACACAACCCAGGCCATTCTGCAGGTCACGCCAAAGGTTCAAATGCTATGGTAGATTTCATCACGTCTTTCTCTCTCCTCCACCCCTTCTCTTTCCCTCCCCCCTTCTCTCTCTCTCTCTCTCTCTCTCTCTCTCTCTCTCTCTCTCTCTCTCTCTCTCTCTCTC